GGTAAAGGCCGGGGGGGAATTTGGCCAGGACACCGGGGTAACACCCCTACTCTTCTCGAGAAACACCCTGGGATTTGTAATGACCAGAAAGAGTCAGGACCTCAGTTTTACATCTCACCCAAAGAACAGCGCCTTTTTACAGTATAGTGTGCCCGTCACTATACTGGGGCAGCAGGACTCACTCAGGCTATAGGATGAGCGCCCCCTACTGGCCCCGCTAACACATCTTCCAGCAGCAACCTTAGCTTTCCCAGGAGTCTCTGGTCCACACCTGCTGAGCTTCAGTGGGCTGGAGGCTGATATAGCTGTTGGCTATAGCTAATCCAATCACTAACCTTGGTCTACTGCTAACCTTTATCTCACATTCTGACTGCAGAACACCTGCTTTATTGACTTTCTATAGAACACCGACTGCTAGTAAATTTCGGTACGATCTTCTAAATCTGTCATTTGCACAGCTTCATCTAAAGCGTGACCCCGATCCGTCTCCATTGCGATGTGAGGCGGAGCAGATTGTGTTTCGCGTGGCGTTAGCGCCGTCGTCTGTTAGAACCGGGTTATTACAACGAGTAAAACGAGCATTTCATTCCCAGTCTGGGGTCTGAAATTGTTCCGTTAGTTGTGGGAGTCTGATGTGATAGAATCGAAATATTCCGATTGTTTATACTTTAGACTGCAAAAGCTTTAAAGATGCATTATTTATTCCAAATCGATTGGAACTGTGACACGCTTGGCCCCTGCGTTAGCTTTGATCTAGGCGAAGTGTTGTCGTATTTAGAAAACAATTTAAAGGAGTCCCGATTAATGAAGATCTTTTTTTATTATTGGCGATAAATAATACTTGGCAACACGGTATGCAGGCTCAATCGAGGCGAGAGGTCGACCGTATGATTTATAAAACAACGCCAAATAGGGAGCACGTTTCATTAATGAGAAGCGTCTTCATTTTCACCTTCCTTCCTTTTATTTACACGCCAGTAAACCGTCTTTAAAAAAAAACCCGTAAAACTACACGAAACAAATTTCCCCCAATGGGACAATAAACCTTGAATTGAGAAATGGAGATCTTCAGATGCACTATGTGTGCGCGCATGTGCGAACTACACAGAGACGGACCAACAAAGACTACAAGTCCCGTGAGGCTCGACGCACGGCCAATCCACAGTGCGCATGCGGGCGGAGCGGGTCTCTCCAGCAGTGACAGCTACCGGTTGGGCAGGACGGAGTAGGGAGGTATTTATCTGTAACAACACTGTGGGGGCAAAGACGGATATATTGAACTGAAATAACATCCTAAAGCAAAAGGGGACCAGACGGATAAACCCCGGACATCAGAGCACGAGTTTGTTTTCCTGTAAGTACTGCCCTGAGAGCCGGCCGGAGTGTGATTCTGGGGGGTACCCGGGGCAGGTTGGCGGTGCTTGGGGGCTCGGTTCTGGGACGGGTTGTTCGGGTAGGCCCGGC